GGCCTTCGATACACCCGCCCCATCTCTGGACAGAGGGGGTTCCGTTTATACCCCACAATCATTAGTGGGCATTTAGGTAGTATGAAGGCTCGGCTCTAAACACGAGTCTTCAGAGAACTCTCGCCTGAATTACAAGTAACCGGCTGCGGGACTCCGCGCCAGGCCTCCCGGATCGCAGGGCGGGGCCGCCGGAGCCCGGGCCTGAGCCTGCGGGTGCGGGTGCGGGTGCGGGCTCCTCGCGGAGGGTCGGAGACGCCGTGACGGTCCCTCCCGCCTCCCCTTCGCCCTGTCCGCTTCGAGGGGGCCCCGATGCTGATTCTCTCGTCTGTCCCTCTCACCCATCCAGCAGGCGTTTATGTGGGTGCCAGGCCCTCCGCTGGCACCCCGGGGCGAATGAAGGGTGCAATGTTAACGCAGCCGTCATTTCGTTCATCCCGGCTCTGGGGGCGCGCGGCGGCGGGGGGGCCCTCCGTTCCTCTCTCGTCCGCCGCCTGCGCGCCCCCGTGCGCCTCCTCACCCTCCATCAGCGCCCAACCCGGGCTCTGGGTTGATCTGTGCCCGCCCAGACCTCCCGCCGGAACCTGGCGCCGAGGACTTCCGTCGCCCACGGACCCTGCGCGACCCACCGCTAGTCTAGGGACCGCGTGGCCCCGCCACGGCCGGCGGGCGCCTCCCCAGGTTCTTCCCGGGGCGCGGCGGGGCAGCCAGGCGCGGAGAGGAGCGCACGGAGCCCGTGGGCACCGGAGATGAGGCCGCTGGCCCGCAGCCCAGCGCGGCGGGGCGGGCAGGAGCGGGCGTGGGGAAGGGTGGGCTTCCTGGACCCGGGGGCCCTGCGCCTTCTCATCTTGGAAAACGGCACCACCGGGTCACCGCGGTGCGGTCTACCCGCTCCCCTCCCCGCCCACTCGGCCTGACTAACTGTCGGCTTCCTTCTGAACTCGCCGATCGATTCACCAACGGAGTGGATCAGAGACGTGGAAGCACCGAGCCGCGTGGGAATCTCGGAGGGAAGGCGGGAGCGGGTGGGAGGGAGGTAATCACCCAAAGACCTTGTGTGCGTCTATGCGTGGCCCACGGACACGGACCATTAGATGGTGAGGCCTAGGGCCGGGGTGGGCGGAGGGGGCTGATGGGGAGAAGGGGGACATAAGTAATACTTTCAACAATAACGATGTTTTCTGAAGTGAACTGTAACTAAAATAAACATTTAAATGAGCGCGCGCAGCTTCACTCACTTTCTGGCTTCCCCGCTTCTCTTCTGCAGGACCAGGCCCCCATCTAGTGACTGGGCTCGGGAACAGCCGCCTGACTGGTTCCCGCCTCAGAATCTCATAAACCGAAGCCGTCCTGTGACTCCTCTGCTGAACCCCTTTGCCGGTGGTTTCCACGCCCCATCAGTGCTTACTGCTTGTCTCCCCGTTAAGAAGGCCGTGTGAGTAACCACGGAGCCACTTTACAGCGGAGCCCGAGCTGCCGTCCCGGGGGAACTGCCTGTGTGCAGTCTTATGCCTCAAACCTTCGGATGTTAAAACCGGGCAAAATAACCTTTGCACTGCGCCGAAGCAGCCTGGTTTCCCAAAGGAATGTTTGCAAAGATAACCAGGAGGCAACTACTATGACTACTAGACTGAAAATTAAAACATGGTGCGCCCAGCTGGTGGGCTCACGGTTGGATCCCAGTCAGGGCACATGCCGGGTTGAGGCAGCTGATCCATGATTCTCTCTCATTGATGTTTTTATCTTGCTCTCCCTCTCCCTTCCTCTCTGAAATCTATCTATCTATCTATCTATCTATCTATCTATCTAATCTATATATAGATATATATATATATATTTTAATCTTTAAATTCTTTATTAGTTAAGGAATTACAAATGTGTCCTCATTCCCCCCCATTAACCCCCATCCTCCCCCCCCCTATATATATATATTTAAAGAATGTTCCCGTCTCATTCCCCTGTTGCGGCTCCTGTTCCCAAGCCAGGATGTTAGGTTCCAGAGTGGGCGTGGGCTAGAACACTCTGTCCTTCTGGATGTTTTGGCTCTAATTTCCACCCCAAATGGGTGTTGCCCCTCTCCTTTTTCTTGGCCAACTTCTCTTTGACCAATATAAGCGCATGCTGGAGGCTGGTGGGCAGTCATGCATTTTATGGCAGGCCCTACACACAGCCGGAGTCTGGGGCCCCTGGGCCTCCACAGCACCCCCCACGCTCTGTACATGGTCCTCTTAACAGTGCTGGTCGTGATGAGCTTGGTGTTTGGTAAGTGGCTCGAAGGGATCCGAAGGCCTGCTGGGTAGAGGAACCCACAGATACCAGGTGTTGGGGACATCTGCCCAGGCAGGAGGAAAGATGGGATGAGTGGGCTTGCTGGGATAATGCCTGGGCACTGCTAATGCACTGATGGTCACTCTGAGGGAGATGTCTAGTGACACCCCAGGGTTGTCTCACTCAACAGCAATGACCTTAATGGAGTTACTGAAGGGAACCCACTAAAATCTCAGGACAACACAGAATAGGGAGGGTTTGGGGAGCAAGCTAGATGACAGCACCAGGATCCCCAGGGTAGAAAGAGGCTGGAAGCAGCCTGATAGCCTCCTCACTTGGCTGTAAAGCACCATCGCCATAGAAACAGGATTCAAAAATTTGTCAGCATCTGTCTACACCAAGTGCTCTGCTGGGACTGGGGACTCATTAACCTGTGGTCTTGGCCAGGGACCAGAGGAAGAGGGAGATAGATGTACAGTCAGTCCTCCATATGTGCGGGTTCCGCATCCCTGGATTCAACCGAGGATGAAAAATATTTTTAAAATGATATTGTTGTTGATGTGTACTACGTAGTTAGGCCTATGATGGTTGTGTCTGTACTGAACATGTACAGACATTTTTCTGTCTTTATTCCTTAAAGAATATAGTATAACATCTATATACTAGTATATAGTATTTACATTGTATTAGGTATTACAAGTAATCTATACATGATTTAACGTATTTGGGAGGATGTGTATAGGTTATATGCAAACACTACATCATCTATAATAATAAAAGCGTAATATGCTAATTAGACTAGACAGCCAAACAACCTTCCGGACATCCTTCCAGACGACCTTCTGGACCAAGCCAGGGCTGTGAGGACTGAGGCAGCTGCCGCGGTTGCATGAGGCCTCTATTTTTATATAAGGGACTTGAGCAGATTTTTGTATCACTTTGGAACCAATCCCCTGTGGATACCAAGGGACAACTATATATGCATGTGGTTGGGAGGGCTTTGGTGGAAAAAGTTTAATATGAGTCTGTCCTGCCCCAGCTGGTTTAGATCAGTGGATAGAGCATTGGACTGTGGAACGAAGGGTCCCAGGTTCAGTTAGGGTCAGGGGCACATGTCCAGGTTGTGGGCTCAGTCCCCAGTTGGGGGCGTGCAGGAGGCAGCCGGTTAATGATTCTTTCTCATCATTGATGTTTCTATCTCTCTCTCTCGCTCTCCCTCTCTGAAATCAATAAAAATTTAAAAAAGTGTGTTCTTAATATTAAAAAAAAAAAGAGAGAAATGAGTCTGTCCTGTGATAGGATCACCAAACAAAGAATGTGGGCCTGGGCTGCTTGAAATCTCTTGTCTGCACAAAGCAGAGATTCTTCATATCCTGTGATGATGTATTCTTGTTTTTACTTCTGGGTTTGTTTGTTTTTAATTGATTTCAAAGAGGAAGGGAGAGGGACAGAGAGGTTGAAACATCAGTGATGAAAGAGAATCATTGATCGGCTGCCTCCTGCACACCCCGCACTGGGGATCGAGCCTGCAACCCAGGCATGTGCTCTTTTTTTTTTTTTTTTTAAATATATTTTATTGATTTTTTACAGAGAGGAAGGGAGAGAGATAGTTAGAAACATCGATCAGCTGCCTCCTGCACACCCCCCACTGGGGACGTGCCCACAACCCAGGCACACGCCCTTGACCGGAACCGAACCCGGGACCCCTCAGTCTGCAGGCCGACGCTCCATCCACTGAGCCAAACCGGTTTCGGCCAGGCATGTGCTCTTGACTGGAATCAAACCTCCTGGTTCATGGGTCGAATCTCAACCATTGACCCACACTGGCTGGGCCGGATGGTTTTAAAGAATTGGTGATTTTATGGTTTTCTGAGATGAGGGAGGGAAACAGTGGCGTTGACCTGGAAAATAGGCAGGCAGAGGCATGGGGTCAGAGCTTGTCCATGTTCTAGGTAAAACTGATCCTGTCAATGAAGAGCCCCCTTATCCAGCTGAGTTCCCCAAATACCTGCGCTGCTATCGGTGCCTCTTGGAGACCAAGGAGCTGGGGTGCCTGCTGGGATCTGACATCTGCCTGGCCTCTCCTGGCAGCAGCTGTATGACTCTCTTCATCAAGAACAGTAAGCTGCCTTCTGTGTGTCTGGGGCCCAGAACTGAGTCCCTACATTTCCTAGCCCCAACTCTCCGACACTGCCCAGCACCGACTCTCTCCTTCAGAGCCAGTCCCTGTCTCCACCGCCACCGCCACCGCCACCGCCACCGCCACTGCCTGCCCTTCTCAGCCCACAGCTGAGTGTCCCCCCCTCCGCAGGCGCCAGCCTTGAGATGGCCAGCTACCTCTTCCCGTCTCCTTCACAGAGTCTTGCCTCATTCTCCTTCACCCTTAAGGGTTCATGTTCTTTGGCTATCTTCCCGTTTCACTCTCCCACAGGAACTTATCTGCTTCCCTGGCGTCCGCACAGCCACATCACAGTCTGAGCGGTGGCCACACTGCCCATCAAATTGCCCTCTGGACACCTCCCCTCAACTTTCCACTTCCCCCAAATTGTCCATCCCTTTGTTCTTCTACCTGGCCGCTCACCTTCTTAGTTAACAAACCCTAACACAGCCTCTGGGCCAACCACTGTGCTAGGCACTTACAGGCCTCTGAGGTGTTCCCAGCTGAGGAGAGAGGCCGGGAAAGGCCCACACCTGCCGAGTCTCCAAGGGCTGAGCCACAACCTGTGGTGGCTCCAGAGATGGCACTCAACCACCACTGCAGGGAGCTGCCTGTATTCACATCGCCTCGCCCCCTTCCCAGAGAGCTGCGCACACGTGGTTCAGCACTGCAGCGTCCCGGGGCTCAGAGAAGTCTGCCCTCTCCTGGCCCAGTCCCCAGCTCCCACGCACGAAAACGAAAACCACTCTTTTTATGTCTGGATTCCCCTTCCTGTGATCTTTTTGGGCATCCCACCCTATACACATGTACTCTACCTTTACCCCTTCTCCCGCAAACAGTACATAGCCCTGTAGACACTGTTCTGCACTTGCTTTTTAAACTTAACAGTTATGGGAACATAACGTTTCCCTAGCGGTTTGTAAACAGCGTCCGTGCCCCACCACCCCGCGCACAGCTCCTCGCCTGGGCGTCAGGCCCAGCTGTCATCCGCTGTAGGACTTGTAGGACCGCGGTGACTTCCGCTCTTCAACTCTCTCAGGCAGGGATTTTTCACCCCCTAATATCGGGGCGGAGGGGGGTAAAATGGAGTTAATAAGACTCCTTCTCCTTGGCACTCCCTGCCCTGCCCAGCTCCAGGAGTCTCTGCGTTTGGGGGTGCAGGGAAGGGTGTGGGGCAGTGTAAGTCCAAGTGGAGGGAGGGAGGGGAGGGTTTGGGGCTCTGCCGGGACCGTGTTGCTGTTGCAGGTAGTGGGTCTGACATCATGGTGAGTGACTGTTGCCGCAAGGAGCGGATGAGTGCCTGCTCACACACCCGCACTTCCCCCGTGTTTGGCTTCTGGATGTTCTCCCGATGCTGTTTCCAGGATTTCTGCAATAGCCCACAGAACCGAGCGCTCTAGTCCCACAGGACGTCTGCAGAGACCTTTGCAGTAAAATGTTGCCGGTGTCCAGCCAGCTTCCTGGTTCCCACCTGGGCGCAGCCAGGACAACTTCTAGCCCCCCCCCCCAGCAGTCGTCCCACCTCCCCAGGTTACCTGACCCAGCCCCCGTTGCCTCTTGCCGCCCCTCAGCACCCACATTCACACTCTGCCCCTCCCCAAACATCTCTGGAGTTTTCCCTGTAAGTCCTCACAGTCTGACAGCTTCCCTCGCCTCTTCTCCCACCTCTAGGCAGCCTTTGCTCTGCTCTGGCCTTCTCCCTTCCTCCCACCAAGGCCTCTCTCGCCAGGTGTTCCTGCAGAATAAATTGGTGTACAATCTGTATGGTTTCTCTCTTCTGGTGGAGGTGGAGGCTGAGGGGGGGTCCTGCCGGGCGGCCCCATTGGGGGACAGGTAAGGCGCTCCCAGCTCTTCTTAGCCCTGCTCTCGCCTCTCTTGGTGTCTGATTCAGCTCTAAGCACAAACAGGTGAAGAGGAATTGGAAGGAGATACAGTGCCAGCCAAAAGGGCAGTGGGCACCCGTTAGTGCTGTCAGCCCAGAGCCGTGTGGGAACTGCAGGGAGGTGTCGGTGGGCGTGGGCTGTGCAAGGTCCAAGGAGAAGGGTGCGAGCGGCTGGGCCTCGTGGAGCCCGGGGCTTTGTCCCAGGCTCAGCTCCCTCAGGACCATGGCTCTATGCTTGTTTCGGGCCTTGGGGTCCTCAGCCTCTGAGGCTGTCCTCCAGTTCGGGCCTTTCTGTCCTAGACCGAAATCAAGTGCGGGGAATAGTGGGCCCAGCAAGAGGGGGACACACAGGTTTACACCTCTTTGTCCCTCCAACTGCCTTCTGACCTAAACATTAACGTTGGTGTTTCCCACCAGAGCACAGGCCATGGAGTTAACACGTGGCCAGTGTCAGTGCCGTGTACATGAGTATATGCTGTATGATGCCATTTAAACCCAGCAGACAAAACCCAGCCGAGCTGCTCCAGCTCGGGGTAGAGATGACGCCGAGTTGGGGTCAGTGCCTAGAAGCAGCTTTGGGTACCAGAGGCCTTTATGCCAGCTTAAAACTGCTAACACAGGTGGGTGGCTTTCAAAAGCCCATCTTATATACGTTTTGCCAGAGGTTTAAAAACAGACAGGCCTAAGTCAGTTTGTCCCGAAGGCATGTGTGTGCGCGCGAAGCCGTGTGTGTATGTGTACGTGCACATGCACTCGCCATGCCCCGAGGAGACCAGCTTACCCACGTGGAGGAGCTGAGATCGGGGTCCCGGCTGCGAGGCTGCACTACTTCTCAGAAATGGGTTGACCACCCCAGCACTGGGTTGAGATTTGGAGGGCAGACTTGGCTGTACCTTCTGAGTCCTGGTGCTCAACACTGGGCCTGGCACAGAGCGGGCGCGTGTAGTTTGTTGAATGTAAGGAAAAGGGAGTTACGACTATTCATTATTGCTTTCAGGATATTTGCCATTTTCAAAAATAAAAAAAAAGGCCCCTAGCTAAGGGGTCCTGGATACCAGGAACCTAAAAAGAATGGGCAGGCAGATGCGGCCGGTGCGGTGCAGTCGCCCCGTGCACCAGGTCACCCTAGGGTTCCAGGACAGGGCACACTCCGGTTTCGGGCTCAATCCCCAGTAGAGGGCATGCAGGAGGCAGTTAAAACCATCAGTGTTTCTCTAAAGAAATCAATTGGAAAAAAACACACATACAAAATTAAAAGAAGACAGGCAGGAAACAGGTCCCTCAGCACTAGGTGACTGAGGTGCAGGCTTGGGCCCTTAGGTTTGCTCCTGAGTTTTCCTGAAGTTTTTCCTCCTCTTTCAGGTGGAAAAATCTGACATCACCTGGACTGAACTTCCTAGGTTTTGTAGGGTACGTTTAAGGCCGGGAGGCACCATAATCCTCAAGCTTTGATCTCTCGCTGAGCAGAGGGTGGGATGGACGTGGCCTTTGGGGCAGGCCAGAAGCCACAAAACCAGGTGGAGTGGGCAGGGCTCTGCAACCATTTGAACCCCACACCCAATTAACGTTTCCACCTGTCTACACCTGCCCACACCTGAGCCTAACCCCATAAACAATGTGACTCAGACTTAACCCTGTCTGTTTATTGTGGAGGGAAATCGGGGGACACGGAGAAGAGCAGGACAGACCCTCTCCCCTCCCTTGGGCACCTATGGAAGTGGGTATCAGGACTCAGTGACATGGAGTGAGGCTGAGGAGGACAGAGACCAGAACAAGAGCTGAGAAAGGCAGGAGACCCGGGTGGGAGTGGGGTGGTAGACAGTGAGGCAGGGACACCAGGATGCCCAGTCAGGAATCTGCATCCTCCTTGCTACAAATCCAGCCTGGCCTGCGTCTGAGACAGGCACAGGATGGGAGACAGCCAGAACTAAATGGAGGTGGCAGGTGACCAGACCAGAGGGGACGAGGAAGATGGGGTGACGGCACACTCAGGTGGGAAAAGGACAAGGGAGCCGCTGCCTTCCCCAGGCCAGCCTAGCAGAATCTGCACTTGAGATTATTCTCCAGGAGGAAGGAGAGCACTGGGCATGATGGGTTTCTGAGGAGGGAATGGAACCAAAGCCATAAAGACTTGGAGGACAAAGGGAAGGTCTGAAAGAGCAGAGCAGAGAAGGTGAGTTCTGAGAGGCCAGAGCAGGGTGCTGGGTATTGGGAGAGATGCTGAACAGACTGCAATTCAAGAAGTGTAAAGGGTCAGGGCCCTGCCCAGGGAAGAACCAAAAGCCCCGAGTTGTTGAGGAACAAGTATATGCGGCGCAGGTCGGCAACAGACAAGCCCAGGTTCGAGGGCAGGGCAGCCAGGGGGTCCAGGCCTTTAGGCTCCTTCCCATCATGGGAGCTGGGGAGGGGCAGTGAGAGGTTCAGGGCCTGGTAGAACCATTGGATCTGGGACTTGGACAGAGGCAGGCCCAGGGCCCCACCAGGGGGCTCAGGCTGGGAGCTCTGGAGCTGAGGGCTGGACCACGAGTTGCAGTAATCGTACTGGCAGCACTGGGCCTGGTACCAGTACTCTGAGAAGTAGGTGTTGCGTTTTTCTTGGCAGCGGTAAGAATTGTGCTGTCCACAGCCTCGGATGAGGAAGCGAACCCTGGTATCTGGAGGAAGAGAACAGCTCATAAGCCGTTGCCTCCCGTAGTCTCCAAACTTGGCACCCCTACCAAGAACTCTCCCCATCCCTCACCAGACCCAACTTCCACCCCAGACAGCTTCAGAAATTTAGTTTCGTTACCCGCCCCCCGCCCCCCAAACTCCTGACACCACCTTCCGGAATCCTCCTCTCTCCTTCTTGTGCCCCAAGCAGCCCTCATCTATGAGACCAAGCAATGGGCCGTCTCACCAGCAGCCCCTTCCTGAGTCTTGAACTCACTGTAATAGATGGTGATCACCATGCATGGGGATGAACTACTGATGGTGCATTTCTCTGAGCCAGAAATGCATCCTGCAGAGGGGTCTTCTAAGAGGCAGAGGTGGCAGGTCCGGAGTTCAGGAACAGGAACTGAGGAAGACAGAGGGATGGGAGCAGAGCTCACTCCAAGGTCCCTGCCCCACCTCCTTCCTTCCTGCCCCTGGGCCCCACTCACCTTTTCCCGCTGCGAAGCCTACGGCGGCCAGCACAGCGACCAGCATATGTGCCTTCATTATGGCGTTCTGGGGAGAGGGACAGTGCCTGAGGGGTGCCCTGCAACTCCACCTTCCCAGGACCATGCTCCTGGGTCCTGAGCTGCAGGGGGGTTTTGAGTCTGGGCAGGAGCTGCCGTGGGCAGAGCTATATTCCTGCCTGGGGCAGGACCTGGGCTGGGTGAGGAAGTGATTAACCTGGCAGGAGGAACAGTGTGTCCTCACCCACGAGGCCTGCTCTCTGAATGTGGGCGCAGTGGCCGAGATGGGCAGGACCTGGGCCTGTATCCAGTGTGCTTCCCAAACACCTATTCCTGCCCCTCAGGGTCCATGAATTAGCTTGTGTCCAGCTCCACATGCCGCCCTCCCTCACATCAGAGCCAGCCCCCATTGTGCTGAAACTCTGGCCAGGAACTCGGCCTCCCCTTCCTTTGAGATGAGCATGTC